TGAAAAAACTAAAATATCAATTTCCAGCGGAAACGTTTCAATGTCAATATAGACCTTTCGATTCACTTTGAATCGTGGAATTTATAGATATTAATGCTGTGCTGAGGGTAAACAGAGCTGATTTTAATATATGTACGTCATGATATTTGTTTGAGACAAGTATGCATGGTATTATGGTTTGTTGTAAACTCAATGCACGATACAATAATATGTGAATGAACGCTATCCTAAAACTAAATAAATTATTTCCAGACAGAATGTTCGAAAAATACAACTTACCATAACGGTTTTAGCACTGCAACGTTGGCAGATGACGTCACAACTTCCCGATGATAAAAACAATCAGAAGGTCTAATACAACAAATCAGCAAATAAACCAATTTTTTTTTCTCTTCGTTTTTCTCTGAAACGTGATGTGTGGGGGCTCACTCACAATACATCAGCTTTTGGACTCGTGTGTTCATATGCGTGTCTTGCATATTCCCCCGAAGGGCTATAGGTATAGGATAATGCACGAGTGAAGTGCAATCGTTCAGATACTGAATTACACAAGTGTTGAGTTTGTATCTAGATGGCGGGCGGGACATAACTAGGTGATGCCCAGCACTTGGATAATCGCTCAGTGAATGCTTTGCGAGAACGAGAGTTAGATCACGTACACAGATCAAGTTCTAATAAATACTGCAAACCATGGTGCAAATCTCACACTAGGTGCGAGTTTTTGAATATTATTTTGTTTACGAATTTCGGAAATATCTTGTCTTGTAGGTCAGCCATTATAACTACCACAACATGATTTGATTGTTCATCTATGGGAGGAGTCTAACTACTGTGCCGGTGTTACTGGCGTGACAAAAATAGGAGGAATGTTTATTTCCATCCCAATATTATATGCATACACAAGGGATAACAAGGGTTAAGTCGTCATTTTAAGAGTGATCACCTAGCAATTTCCAAGAGAAACAAACAATGAATTATAAAAAAAAACTAAATTTTTTCAGCCAGTTCGACAGTTGGCATATTGATTGTTGGTATAAATTTAGTGGGAATAGTCACATTTAGAATATCACTCCCAGTGTCCAGGGTCCCTAATGTTTATACTGGTAGGATTCTTCATTTGTGTTATAAATAATAACTAAAAATTCTCCACTGAATATTTTTTAGTTGGCTGTAAAGTGAAGCACAACATTTTTGCAGATTTTGCCTTTCAGTGAAGTAGGCGAGAATAGATAGCAAGTACTCAGCAGTATTGTATGTATTGCTGATATTTAGTATGGGCTCTCATGACTCGGACAGTAAAATTTTACAGTTGTATCACCCAACTACTGTACACCTGGCATACATATTTCATTTTGTTTAATATGCAAATTGTATCATATGAGCAAAAATATGCATATATTTTTAATTGTCAATATTTTTTACTATAGAGTTGGACATAATCATAATCAGCAGGAGCTGGATTAATTTTCAGCAGTTTTCAGGGGGAACACAATACTGTGTTCTGGTGACATCATCATCAACCATAGTCATTTGACCTTTGTTGCATCAATACCTTGACACTTTTTTTCCACTCCATACGAGAAACAGCTTTTTCCGAGGATGTTTTCAAATCGAAACTACTCCAACTAATGTATATCCTCCAGCACCTCCAGTTTTAACTAGGATTAGGTCTTGGTTATTCTGTTCGACCTGCTATGGTTCTTTCTTGTGTTGGTCTGTATTATATTCTTCTTCTCCCTCCAGGTGATGTAAGGCAACCTTTTCAATGATTAGGTCTCAAAAGCTGCAAGATTCATTTCCATTTTCTTACAAACTGCCAAACATTCTCAGCCACTGAGCGAGATAGAGTCAACCAGAACATTACTTAATATGAACAATTTAGATAGGATGACCTTCGCTATTCAGATCTTTTCAGGTCTGGTATGTATTGAAGACGTTATCCTAATTCTCAAGGATGTCTCTATCAATCTACACACTCCACTTACCATCTTTTTTGAACTGATTTCAATACCATAACTTCTACTTGTAATTTCCAGCCTTCTTGTTAGATCTAGGTCTTCCACTGTTTCTGTAATGAGGTATGTATCATCAACGAAAAGGAGGTTAGTTCACCACATATAGCACCTCCACAATATCCATCTAGCTATCTTCCATAATTCTTGCAAGAAACACGTTGACAAGTTATGGTGATAATCAAATAATCAGGCAGCAAAAGCACACAATTTGTTGGAAGATATATACGCTAAACTTGACAAATGTGTCAAAGCTAGCATACTCATAGAACTACCAATGACGGCTAAGGGTTTAGGGCTGGCAGGCTGACATACGTATATGCTGGCAGCACCTTGGCAAACCATACCCCCTATTGCGGATGCAATGTTAATTTAACACCCCCAGAGCAGACACATTGAAGAAAAAACACCCCCTATTACAGACATATATTTAGAATATCCTACTCCTATTGCGAGCATTCTCTGCCATTTTTTGCACTTAAGTGGAGTGTGATGGACTCAAACAAACTACTTATGGTAGCTATGTATGCAACTCCTGTTGGACGTGTCATTCGTTGTTTCATGGGTCCGCCAATTCGAGGCCTAGGGCGGTGTATGGGAGTGGTTGTTGCAAGAGTGGGGCTACAGTGGGCTCAGCAACCCTGTGAGTTTATTCCTGGGGGCCTATTGCAAACATTAGCATTTCAAGGGGGCCGATTTACCTCCCGCGTGGGCATGTATTAGAAGGTGAAAAACACCGCCCTTTCCCGCTAAATTTGGAACGCACATGGGGTAGTATCGGCATATAGAGAGTGCCCCCTGGGGTCGATTCATTCATTAAAACGTGGAAACGTTTCAAAAAATGGATCATGGATCATGATAGGTTCACTTGAGTCGAAGCATATATACAAGGCAGAATTTCATACATCGAAAAACCTGTCAACAAACAAGCTGCTCTGATTGGTTTGATTGTTACAGCTGTTAATGTGTTAGTGTTGGGTAGCCAATCAGGCACAGACTGGCATAAATCTCGTCCCACTCAGAAAAACAGACGAGAAATACAATATTAATACATTATCATTGTCAACAACAGCATAATGGCGCCCTTTAGAATTGTATACGTCGAAAAACCTTTCAACAAAAATGGGTTCAATTATCAGTGTTCACTGGTGACATCATTGACTGTCCCCCTAGAGGCGAAATGACGCCAGGCAAAGTGGACGTTTGTCGTCTACTTCATAGCCCGTTTTATACCCGATATATAGGCCATTTCGCAGCACATACAAGTTGATTTTATCAACAGAATTCATTGATAGTTGTCAAATTTTATGTACAGAGTGAAAAATACAAGACTTCTGCTCCCCTTTAATCTAACTCCTATCACCATTACACGCTAATTGGCTTCCACTTGTTATTACCGCTGCACATCATAACAATCAATATTACAGCACTGATTGTACGCCTCAATTACGAATATAAATTGGATAAGTGTGAAGATTTTACTCACATGAAATCCGGAAATACATGTGCACCACAAAATAAACAAGGCTGGGTCGATTAACTTGGGTACTTGGGAGTCTGCGTTTTACTTTTCTATGTCATTTGGGGAAAATATTTGTTTTGACTAACTAGGCCAACTTGGTAAATCTGGATTAATTAAATGTAAGACTGTAGCATAATTTGTTTGAAAAACAATACTTTCAAAATTATGAAAATGAAAGTGGTGACAAAGTTTATTCGAAGTGCAATACGGGTATGTGCCGCCCGACTGGGGTGTTATTTCACGTTATTTTGTTTAGAAGTGGATAGTCATTTATCAATGGTTTGGTTTAGAAGTGTGTAGAATGTATTTACTTTTTCACAGGTCCTTATATTCAAACCCAGTTACCGGGAAAGGTTGAAGAAAATGCGTCGCTGGGTGTTTTGTTTTAACGGTGGAAACATTTGTGTTTAGAAGTGGGCATATAAATAGAATAAAATGGTTTAGAAGTGAGTATGGTTTACGAGAGGTGAGCTACACACCCTTACCCACTTAATGTGGAAGTAGCCCCCCCCCCCCGGAGCGGAGGGCACAACTCACGCGACCCCGTCAAGCTGACTAATACGAAGCCATAACAAATTGTTACAAATTCCATAATAATTGTCTATTTCCATTCTATTTCAAGAACATTGAAAGTTATAATTGTCAAGTCACTTATTTATTTACTTTATTTATTATTGAAACATATTCCTTCATGGTCGTGTTAATATATAGCTGCA